TTTTTTTTTTTTTTTTTTGGCTACTCCCTCTTACAAGAAGTTGCCCCCAACATTCAGTGAGAAGCAAGTTTCCTCACCCACATACTTGGGCACTCTCTTCCCCCAAACCTCCAGATACTGAGGATTCCTTGCTACTGATGGCTGGCTCCCCAAGGCAGGGCCCCAGTTGCTCTGCTGCACATCTACCCCAGCCTTGCGCTTGCCAGGGAAGTGCTTATTCTGCTAAGCCATTTCCCCAGACCCTCCTTAGTTATTTTCTGAGGTTGGACATGATGTCAAGGCCTGTGTCCAACACGTTGATGAACTGGGATGGGGTGATTAAACATGGGCAGAGGGCAGCTGGGAGACCTCTCCATGGGTCAATCAGGAACAGCCAAGCCCTGAGGGCAGCCAAGCCCTTCCTCCCTAGTACCAGCCTTGGGCTGGTTTGGGGGGCGGGGCAAGGTCTTCAGCCTCATCTTTAGGACAGGGAGGAGTACTGCCTTTCAGAAATCTCACCTTCTTCCATGCCACCCTACCTACCTTTAAGAACCTTTTCAGTTTGGACCCTGTCAGATTTTCCAGCTTTGGCCCTCACCTCTCAGCAACACTGAGGAACAGTCCTCTAGGTCCTCTCTGGTCTCTTGGCCTTTGCTCTTCCTCTGCCTTTTCACTCTCCCCTGATCTTTGCCCTTCAGGGATCTACTGAGACATCACCTCCTTCAGGAAGCCCTCCTTGATTACCCACTGCCCCACATGAATCTGAGCCAGAAACATTTCTGTTTTCCCAGGTGCCTGTACTCACTCCACCACGGGATATCTCACCTTAGGTTCCACTGCCAATGCCAGGGCCCTTCCTGGCCCCCAGGCCCCTGAACTTGATGAGGGTGAGACTGTCTGATGTGCTGAAGCCAGGGACCAGCAGGTGCCTGGCACAGAGCAGATGCCCTTTCCCTGGAGCACTAGTTACCAGAGCCTTCTCTGTGCCAGTGACCATCTGCTGGACAGATGGAGGATGAAGAATGAATGTCCGCTGGCCAGGTCAAGCATTGGGGGTACCTCCTACAGGCCCAGGCCCTGCCCAGGCCCTTCCTGTAAGGGCTGCCCCTGCCTGCCCACCCTGCCATTACCTGGCCAGATGATGGCTTCCAGCAAGGTGACCCGTCTGGCCAGGAGCTCCAGCTGAGCCTGCTGCTGCAGGAAGCTCTGTAAGCTAGGAGCCTGATGGGAGATTGAGAAGAGCAGACGGTGCGAGTCTGGCCTCCAAGGGCTGGACTGGGGAGCCGAAGGGGTTGGGGGAGTAGATGCCAGGTGGTTTTAGGGCAGGAGCCTGATGAGTTTCCATGAGACCTCTGTCTTCCCTCCTAAGGTGGGGACAGGGCTTGCCTGGTTCTTCAAGGAACCAGGTAGATGGGAAATTAATCACTAGATAAATGCTAGAGTGAGTGTTTGGCTCTCCGGATTTAAAGGGAACTGCAGGGCAGATTAGGAAGGCCAAAGTAGAAGGTGCAAGAGGGATACTGGGGTCAGGAGGGACTATGGGGGGAGAGGATCAGACCTGGAAGGTGATTAATTACCCAGAGTCCCATGTAGTCTGAGCCTGGTTCTGTCATACATAGTCCCCTACACTTCTGGAGTCTCTGTGACTGATTCTCCTGTGGGTTTACCTGATCAGGCTCTGTCACCTGATCCGGTCACCCTTGATTTCTCTAGAGCTGAAGACCATAAATCTAGATCCATTATTCACGTTCCTCCTGTGGCCTTGGGCTCTGACTCTATTATCCCATGATCCCCTGCACTGCTAAAGTCTGGCTCTGTTATCTACAATCCCTTGCTCTTCGGAAGTTTGGCTTCCATTGTGCATAGTTTCTTCCAAAGTTGAACTCTGTCATTTCTGGTTCCATGCAGGCCTGGAACCCATGTTATTTACAATGCCCAGAGGCCCAGGTCTGACCCCCAGTGTGGGCCTGTGTTTCTAGGGCCCCTTCACCTGTGCAGGAGATGATTGGTCACAGAAAGATGAGTGGTCTTGGTTTCTCAGGTCCACACCTGCTTGGGGTAGGCATTTTATCCAGTCTTATGACTGGGTCCATGCCAGTTCCACCTCAGGAGGACTTGGGGAAGGCTAGCAGGCAGGGGCTGGGCTGTCTGTCCGTCTGTCTGTCTCTACTCACCATAGAGCCCAATCATTGTTTCCAAGATTAAAACCCTCTCAGCTAAAATCTTCAAAGCCTCGCGTAGTTGGTGCAACCCCTCCCCCTGTGGAGGAAAGAGACAGATGCAGCCGTGATGGGGGCAAAGGAAAGGGCCCTGCAAAGCCTGTTGGTGGCCCATGCCCTACCTGGGACATGCACCTGCAGCCTGCACCACCTGCCACAGCCCAGGGCCCATGGACAGCCAGGACAAGACCAGGAGAGGACAGGAGGGGAACAAGACAGGCGGAAGCATTCCTGAAAGGACCCTCAGAATGACATTTGATCCCAGCTGGCTGCAAATTCTGCTGCTCTGAGGCAGAGGGATGTCAACTGGCAGGGACAGAGCTGCTGTCTCAGAGCTCGCCCACCTGGCTGTGAAGCCCACCCTGTCATCTCATCTCTGTTGCCCAATTCCAGCTGCCTCTGTATCACCTGCATGATTCCCATCACGTCCTGCTACTTTTATTTCCTCTTTTTTTTTTTGGTGGTACCAGGGATCGAACTCAGGACCCTGTGCTTGCCAGGCAAGGACTTATTCCACTGAGCTATCTCCCCGGCCCCATATTTCCTATTCTTTAAATTCACTTTTTAAAATTATCACTTTACCTTCATCATAATTAACTCTGTATCAGTGAGATCAAACTAGTTGCTGATTATTTCCATGTATAAAATGAATATAAATAAAAACAGAAATGTTTGAGGGGCACTGCTGTTGAGGAACTGGTACTTAGAGCTGGCAAACCCTTAGAGCTGGCAAACCTGTAGCTCTAAGTCAGGCGTGGCAGCGCATGCCCATAGTCCAGCACTTGGGAGGCTGAGACAGGAGGATCACTGAGAGTTCAAGGTGGGCTATTTAGTGAGTTCAAGGCAAGTGGTCTCACTGGATACACAGTGAGACCCCATCTCAAAACAAAGAAACAGACAAACAACAACAAACAAGCAGCTAAAAAAAGTCAAAGCTGGGTGTAATGATGCACAGCATAATCTCAGCTCTCTCAAAGGCTGAGTTAAGAGCATTGTGAGTTTGGGCCTCAGCCTGGGTAATTTAGAGATTCAGTGAGACACTGTCTCAAAATTAAAGTATGAAAGAAGAGCCATGACTAGCTCAGCGTGAAGACTCTGAGTTCCATCTTCAGTATGGGGTGAAAAACAAGGTCAAGAAAAGAACAAAGGTTGGGCATGATAGCGCACGCCTGTAATCCCAACACTAGGGGGGCTGAGGCACGAGGATAGAAGATCTTTGTAGTCCTGGGCTGCAAAGTGACCTCAAGGCCAGCCTAAACTGCATAGTGAGGCCTTGTCTCAAAAAGATAAAAAAAGGGCTGGGGAGATAGCTTAGTGGCATAAGCACCTGCTTGGCAAGCACAAGTCCAGAGTTCGATCCCCAGTACCTGAATTAAAAGGAAAAAAAATAAATAAATAAAAAGAAAGAAAGAAAGAAAAGGGCAGAAAGTCTGTTGTACACTAAAAAAGAACAGATACGTAATAACCAAAACCAACATGTCAATGTTAATCAGAACTTGGATTTTAAAAAAGAACTTTTGGATCAGAGGTACAGCTCAGTGTAAAGCATTTGCCTACCCTGAGGGCCTGGGTTTGATCCCCAACACTGGGAAAGTAAATAAATAAAATAACTAGATAAGGTATAGGGGCAGGGGTTTGATTCCCAGGCCTGCCCCGCCAGGGCGCACTGAGATGGCAATTGAGACTGGGAGCGGTGGGGTGTGCCTGTAATCCCAGCTCTTGGGAGGCTATAAACAGGCGGATCACTACAGTCTAATCTAGTAGTGAGACTCTGAACACTCTGTAGACCCTTCCCTAAAATACAGAAAAAAAAAAAAAACCCACCAAAAACCAAAAAACAAACACCTAGATAAATGAAAATGATTTTCAAAGGCATTTTGGGGACAACTGGTAAGATTGACATGTAAGTTACATCTTAAGTGGCCTCATGTTAGTTAACTAATGTTATTTTCTTAGGCATGACAGTTGTACTGCGGCTATTTGAGACAATGTGCTTTTTTATTTTTTACTTTGAGACACATGCTGAAATGTTGGGGAAGATGTGGATAACATTTGTAGCTTAATTTCACATGAATTAGAGGTACACTAACACATAAAGAAGAAAATAGTACATGTGCAATATACTATTAATCAGCTGACATAAAAGGCAGATGGATGTCCATCACATAAGCATTTTGGTAAAGGTTATTTGAAACATTTCAAAGTAAAAAGAAAAAGGAAAGTTTTTTGTTTTTTTTTTTAAAGCCCCTTCTAGAAGGATGCCTTGCTGTGTGCACTGGTGCTACCTGGATCTCCTTCCAGCCTGGCCTGCTCCTGTGCTCTGGATCTAAAGCATCCAGGGCCTGCTGTTTAGCCTCCTGGGCCTTAACACAGACATGTCCCACTTTTCCAGGGACAAAACTCAGTGTACTTGTTTCTCCTGATTCTTTTTCACTATCTTAAGCCTTCCTGACTCCTCATTCCCTTCCCAGACAAAGCAAGACCCAAGAATCTCCGAACTGTACCGATACTGGGCTGTCCTTGCTGCCCCCACCCCCAGTTCCAGCCCCCCACAGTCGCTCACAAGCTCCCCAGCAGTTTTCTGCCAAGGCTTTTTCTGCCTCTCCCTCACTTCCCTCTTTTCCCAGTCATTCTCTATGTGGCAATTAAAGGGCTATTTTGCAAACAAAATTGACTAAGTCACTCTCTTCCTTAGGAATACAGCGGTCCCTCACTTATCGTGGAGATTATGTTCCAAACACCCCCATGATAAGTGAAAATCTGCGAAGTAGAGACGTTATATTTCTTTTAGTATTTATATATATTTAAGCCTTTATAAGCCCCTCCCACACTCTTATAAACCTTTTCCACACTTGTAAAAACACCTCTAACATTCTTAACCATTTTCTAAATTCATAAACCTATGTAATTTTAACAACATACATGTACTGTATGGTACTGCAAAATCCTGTGATATAGCAAAAAATCTGCGATTAATTTATTTTTTTGCAATTAATTTAGATTAATATATATATTTTTAACAGTATCAATCTTTTTTTTTTTTTTTTTTTTTTTTTTTTGGAACCAGGGATTGAACTCAGGCCCTTGCACTTGCCAGGGAAGCACTTATTGCACTGAGCCATCTCCCCAGCCCCTAGATTAATATTTTTTGAAAACCCACAAAATAGTGAGTCCATGAAAGTGGAACTGCAAAAATAGCAAGGGACTACTGTATGTCCATGACTCTCCAGTACCTGCAGAACAAAATCCAAATTCCCTACTATGAATTCCTAAGTCCTGAGAATCTCTTTGGGGTCTGTCTCTCTACTTGTCTGTCACACTGCTACTCCAAGCATTTGCAGCTTTTCAAATGCCCGGGGTCTACTCTTGTCCCTGAGTCTTTGCACATGGTGTTCTCATTCCTGTTGACATCCTCTACCTGGTTATGCCTAGCCTGTCTCCTCCAGGAGGGCACCACGCCATCTGATATCACAGCCAAACTCCCTCTGCCTGCTGACTACAGGTCTTCATTCTCCTATTCCATGATGACCACCTAAGGATGGGGATGATATCTGCATTCATAGTACCAGCTGGGGCCAAGGCTAGGCTTTGCCACGGATTTTCGTGGCAGAGTTGGGCCTCAGTTTCCCTGTTTATTATTATTATATTTTGGTACCAGGAATTGAACTCAGGACCTTGTGCTTGCCAGGCAGGTGCTTGAGCTGCCCCATCCCTGTTTGAGTGAGGGATGAAGGCTTCAAGCTACAGAGACAGATGGTTCAGGCTAGTCACTCAGTTCTTACAGTGGACTCTAAGACCACTGGGTGTCACTGCTGAGCCACAGCCAAGCCAGGCCAGGGCTGCTAAAAGCTTTAAAAAGGGGCACTGGTAGATGGAATGAACACAGGAACCCTCAGAGAAGTATCAGCACTTGGCCCCCTTCCCCCTCCCCACCTACCTCCCAACAGAGTTGGGCCGCCAGCCTCAAAGCTTCATGCAACTTCCAGCCCAGCAAGTTCCCCCTCTGCCCCCCAAGCAGACAGCAAGCAGGGGGAGAAGTGCAGGGAGATGAAGAACAAGAAGGACAAGGGGAGCAGGGGCCCTGCTACTTCTTGGGTGGCCTGTCCCAGGGTTGGTCCTGTGTTGAAGGCCTGGTCTGGGTGGCCCAGGCATCCTGTCCCCTTGTCAGGTATCCCCATGAAGGAATGGGACTGCACAGACTAAATCTGCCTGGACCTCACCTCTCCCACCTCTCCTGGGCTGTGTAGAAAACAGGTTCCCAGTCTGAGGGTCTCTGGGACAGAAGAGTGAGAGATCTACCTGAACCCCCTGTCTACTCTGGTTGTAGTCTTAAGAGGGCTTGGAGCCACAGTGGTGGTGGTAGGTGGACAGCAAGCAGCTAGGAGAGGTAGCAGGGCCCCAGAAGTCATGGAGAGACAAGGGGGAAGGACTCGTGCAGGATAAGGGGCTCCCACGGCTGTATCCATCACTGACCCCACAATCAGTAACAGAGTAGGCAGGCACTGGGGGCTGCCCACATCCTAACTCGTGACTGCCAGAAGTGGGGTGTCCTGGCCAGACTTCAGGGGGCAGAGAAATAGGGAGGAGGGAGCATACCACCCTCCAAAAGAATACCCAAGGTCTCTCCCCTGGGGAGTGTCTGCCCCATCTGGTCCATTTTCCAAATGTCACTGATTTCTAGGTCCCTGTACTGTGGAACTTTGGGACATAGTATATTTGTTCTGGGCTCCTGATCCTTCCCTCATCTGTTTCCTGAAGGAGTAGATTTTTAGGTTCTGAGATTCATTCACTGTAATTACCTCCAATAACAGTATTGATTTTTAGCAGTCCACATGAGTTATGGATTTCCCAGTGTGTGGTTTCTAGGACCCCAGTGTGTGGTTTCTAGGACCCCATTCTTGTTTCTCTACATCTCTTATGTATGTGACAATTTCTTCCCCTCCTATTCTTCACTGTTTCCTTTACATAGTGGCTCTAGAGGCCCTGATCCCACTTTGCATAGTTCTTCTTTGCATATGGCAGTTTCTAGGCTTTCCTTGCCATCATCATGGGTCCCTCACTTAAGGGATGGTATCTAGCACCTCATGTCATTTATAGGTCTTTTGGGTACAGTGGTATCAGGTCACCTGAACCATGTCAAATGTGTATGATGGGTCAAGGCCTCTCTTCGCAGGCTTCCTGGGTTTCTGGTGTGTACGGTAGCATCTAGATTCCCTGTTTCTTTTGTTGTAGGGCTTCTGTGCCTCTCACTGTTTCTAGGCCTTTCTTCTTGTGGTTCATGGCTTTCCTAAGGTGCCCTATTCTATTGTACCATGTTGGTATTGTCTTCATGTTTTTCTTTCTCCTTGACGGGACATGTTTCCCTGTCATCCTCCCTTTCTCAGAGGGGACTATGGCAGTGGGGGAAGAAGTCTGGCCTGGGCCCACCCAAACCCCCCAGTAGAAATAGACAGAGCCACCCTGGCCCTGAAAGGCTACAGAGCAAAGGTAAAGACAGGGGCAAAGACAGACAGGAGCAGTGGGGGTCTGCTGATAGGGCTGGTTCTGCCCACTTGGGGGTGACAGGATGGGGAAGGGGCTGGGCCACAGAACTGTCCAGGTGTCAGGCAGTAGGGGCAACGTGGATGGGGCACCCCTACTCCAGGGCCTACTGGTGAGAGAATTCGCTCCTGAGCACCCAAGGTGGGAGACAATGAAGGGAGGCCAGGGCTGGACCAGAGCTTACCCAGTGGCTCTTCTCACCAGGGTCTCCTTTGGGGCCAGGTTCTCCCTGCAAGGAGAGACAGAAATAGAAGTAAGGGAGAGAGGGAGGGAAAGACGGAGGGGAGACAAAGAAAAAGACTTAGAGAAACACAGAAAAGATGGGAGAGGGATACAGTGCAGTCGTACAGTGCTTGCCTAGCACCACACACACACACACACACACACACACCCCAGAGCTCTTCTGGGTACGGTGTCTAGAGGCTTTCACAATGGTCCAGCGCCTGATGTACTATCGTAGGCTTTCCTACAACACTGCTTCTAACAAAACGAGGCTGTCCCGAACCCCAGAGAATAGAATTGTTTACCTCTATACCAAGAAGATTGGGAAGGCCCCCAAATCTGTATGTGGTGTGTGCCCGGGCGGACTTCAAGGGGTTCAAGCAGTGCGGCCTAAAGTTCTTATGATTGTCTAAAATGAAGAAGCACGTCAGCAGGGCTTATGGGGGCTCCATGTGTGCCAAGCGTGTCTGTGACAGGATCAAGCATGCTTTCCTTATTAAAGAGCCGAAAATCGTGGTGAAAGCGTTTAAGGCACAAGCACAGAGTCAGAAGGCTAAATAAAACATGAAGCTGTTGCAGTAATAAAAGATGGAAAGGCTATTTAAAAAAAGGAAAAAGAGAAGTATAGAGAGTAGCTTTTATTGAACTAACAGTAGACAAAACACAGAAAAACTGTTGAAGGCAATGGAAGTTAAAGGACAGCCAGAAGCTCTTGGATGAATGTTCAGTCAGTGGATGAAGTGAACTCTATTCATATAGGATTTTTTTCTTAGAGGGTATAGCCTAGCAAATAGAGCTCACACAATGGTCTTCAGTTTCATTGGCTTGAGGAGTAAGAGGTTGGAGTTGAGGCTGCCAGAGAAGGAAACTGAGCAAGAATCCTAGAAAGCAATGAGCCATAGAGGGGGAACAAAAATCTGCACAAATGCTCCCTTCTAATCCCTGGAGGATCCCTAAACCGTCCATCCACAGGGTGACATTCCAAGGAGTCCAGGGGAGAAACAACAGGTAGAACTGAGCATACAGTTCAACAATTTGCTGCACATAGGAGACAAGAATTGGGAACACATAAGGCCTTATGTGTTTTCTGGAAAGTCTACAGTTTAGGAATAAAGAGAACATCCCATGGATTTTTTCAGCCAGAATGGACTTTCTCTGATAAGTCCTAATAAGCTAAATCTCTACAAGAGCAACACTATCAATAACTTAACTGCTCTAGATGAAAACTCAACACTCTTCAGAGGAATAATTGAATTCAGTGTCTTCAATGTATTATCCATATTGTCCAGTATATAATAAACAATTATTAGATATAAAAAAGTATATCATATGTCCCATATTCAAGAGAAGAATTAACCAATATAAATAGATCCATAGCTAACTCAGGTATTATAATTAGCAGACAAGAAGTTTAGGGCTGGGGAGATAGCTCAGCGGTCTAAACGCCTGCCTTGAAAGCACAAGGTCCTGAGTTTGATCCCCATACCACAAAAAAAAAAAAGAATGCGGTGAGTGAAAGAATGCAGTGAGTGCTTAAATTTTGGTAGATAGCTCAGAGGTCTAAGCAACTGCCTGGCAAGCACAAGGTTCCAGGTTCCATCCCCGGGACTGCATGCACACCCCCCCGGTGTGCTCAACCTGAGACCAGGTGTGGTGGTATACATGTGTAATTCTAGGGCTGGGTAGGCTGAGACAGGAGGATCACTATGAGTCCAAGCTGCATAGTGAGATAAATAAATAAATAAATAAATGATTAAATAAGGTTTAAAATAACTATGGTAAATGTTAAAGAACTTACTGAAATTGATGTAATAGCCAAAGAGATACAAAATTTTGGGAAAAATGTATAAAATATAAAAAAGAAGTAAGTGGGAATGCCAGGAAAAACATTTGTTGGATGTGATTAACAGAAGACTATCTACAGCAACAGAAAATCAAACTGAAGATAGGCCAATGGAACAAATCAAACTAAAATCAAACATGGAAAGAAAAGGAGTTTTATAAAACTGGATGAGGGCTGAAGTGGATCACTAGGATGTATGTTTAGCAGCACGAGGCCCTGAGTTCAATCACAGGCAGAAAGAAAAATTTAACAGTACCTCAATGATTCATGTGGAATCATTAAGTAGAGTCCAGAAGGAGGGAGAAGGGCTGGCCAGATAGCTCAGCAGACTAAAGTGCCTACTTAGGAAGGAGCAGGACAGGGATTCAATCCCTGGGAAGCTGTGCTGGCCCCACCCCCGGGGTGCAACTGAGACTGGGAGTGGTGGTGTGCACCTGTAATCCCAGCACTTGGGAGGCTGAAAATAGGAGGAACACTACGAGTCCGATCTGTGTAGTGAGACCTGGAGACCCTGTACTAAATACATTTAAAAAAAAAAAAGAGAAAGAAAGGAAATTAAAAGAACAGAAGGAAGGAGAGAGAAAAAAACAGAAAATGTTTTCTCCCCTCCTCCCCTCCCCTTCCCTCCTTTCTTTTCCTTTACCAGAAATCAGACTTAGGACCTTTTGTGCTTTGCCAGGCAGGTGCTTTGTTGCTAAGCTACACCCCTAGCCAGCCTCTTTTCTGTTAATAGTGGCAAAGTTTCACATTTACTAAAGGTAGGAAAAAACAGGCTCTGCAGAGAGAGTTTGGGCATAAACTGCAGAAAGAGTAGGAAAAGGGCAATAAATTATTTAAAAATACAGCCTACAATGTAGGTTGGGCTACCATGATAAGGCATGATAGCTGCAATAGGAAGTTGTCTACTGAAGGCTGGGGATATAGCTCAATGGCAGAGTGCTTGTCTAGCATGCGTGAGGCCCTGGATTCCATCCATGGTCAAAGAAAGAAAAAGTAGTCTGGGCGTAGTGGTGCATGCCCGGAATCCCAGCACTTGAGAGGTTGAGACAGGAGGACTGCTGCAAATCTGAGGCCAGCCTGAAGTACATAGTGAGATCCTGTCTCAAAAACAAACAAACAAACAAACAAACAAAAAACAAGTGAGCAAGGAGGGAGACAAAAGAAGGAAAGAAGTTTTTCTATTGATCTATTTCTTTGTCTCAAGTTTATTTACCTATTTATTTTTAAATTTTTCCCCCCATAATTTTATTGAGAAACAAATAGCAATGAGACAGTTTCAAACCATATTGGTAGGACAGTTTCAATAATTAATACATTGTATACATTTTTCCTAGTGGCTAATTGCTCAAATTTATTTAAAAACAAAATAAACATCCAGGTTCTGAGTCTGGCATACTAGGAGTTTAGGAACTAAATAAGTAAAAAGCTGATACAATGGAAAAATTAACAACTGTTAATCAGAGAGGTGAGATCATGTGCAAACTGCTAGCCCTAAACCTGGAGAATCAAACAAGCAGAGTCATAATTTAGAGGAGAGAAACTCCACAGAGCAGAAAGCACCACAGTTCTGCAATAGGAAAACCTAAAGTATAATTGACAAATTTCTGAAGGTTCAATGAAGACAAGCCCAAGAGAGTTAAAAGTCCGAGGGAACTCGGTCATTTCCCACATATACTACCAAGTTCTCATAGTGAGTATCAGTGACAGAGGCCTGTGTGCTTTCAGCAGGGGGAAGAGGAGCCATTTTAAAATATGCCAGGGGGCTGGGGAGATGGCTCAGTGGAATAAGCGCTTCCCTGGCAAGCGCAAGGGTCTGAGTTCAATCCCCAGTTCCGCCAAAAAAAAAAAAAAAAAAAAAAAGCCAGGATATCTCTCTCTCTCTCTCTCTCTGAATTTCTGAATTTTGAGCCAAAGTCTAACTGAGTTGCACTTTAGGCTACAACTTCTGATTTTCCTGCCAGCAGACATTATTTTGCCTGAGCCAAAATGCTGGGGTTTTATTAGGGCCTAAACAACCTGGAAGAAGGGAAATAATTTTTGTTCTCTCCAGCTTTCCAAGAGGGAAAAAGGAAGTAGCCACCCCCACCCCCCAAAAAAAACATTCAGGGGCTGATAAAACAAAAACATACAACCTTCCCCATTAGCACTGGTGAAATTCACAGTTCGGGGGCACAGGTTGACACAGAGACTAATTATCAGACTAGAGAACACTTTTCTTCTTTCCATATCTTACCAATGCATTCCTAAAGGTCTATTTATCATAGTTCCTTTTAAATAATATATCATGTCAATCTATCAATAAAGGTATAAGGCACACTGAAAAGCAAAAACACGGTTTTGAATTAACATCAAAACCAGAATGAGAAAGGGCAGAACTGTGAGAATTATCAGAAGAGCAATTTTTTTTCATGCCAGGAATAGATCTCAGGACCTTGTGTTTGTCAGGCCAGACCTTGTGCCATTGAGCTATATCCCTGGCCCAGAATAGGAATTGTTTAAATCTGTGATACTAAGGGAAATCTTATTATGCTAAGGGAACTAATGGGGAGAGTAGACAACACACAAGAAGAAATTATATGGAAAGTGATAGTAAGTCTAAGATGAAATAAAAAAAGAAGTGTTAGGGACCAAAGATATTGCAACAGAAATGAAAAATGCCTTTTTTTTTTTTTTTTTGTGGAACTGGGGATTGAACTCAGGCCCTTGTGCTTGCCAGGGAAGCGCTTATTCCACTGAGCCATCTCCTTAGCGCCGAAAAATGCCTTTGATGGGCTCATTAGTAGGTTAGACAGGGCTAAGAAAAAAATCTCTAAGCCTGGTAATATGATAATACAAATTTCTAAAACTGAACTGCAAAGAAGCAGAGGAAAAAAAAAAAAAGAAAAATACAAGAATTGTGGTACAATTACAAAAAATATAAACATATAAAATGGGAATACATGAAAGAGGGAAAACAACATAAATAATACCAGATGTAATGACAGAACGCTGCACAATAATATCAGAAACAAAACAACAGACTTAGAAGCTTAAAGAACGTCAAGAAAAGGAATATGGAAAAAAAAAAAACCCTGATAGCTAGGCATATGTCATAATCAAACTGTAGAAAATCAAAGATGAAGACAAATATTAAAAAGAGATGGGTGTGGCAACCCATTTGGGAC